GTAATGCGTGAAAAAATCCATAAACAAAGCACGTTTTTAATTTTATAGAAACGTAATATGAACGTGATAATCATTAATACGAAAAGAATCGATATTTATTATTAATTAAGCCATATTTAATCGCTAGGCTGAGATAAATTTTGTATGCGTTCAAAACAGATGCTCACTGCACTCGACATTGATATCAAATAGCGTTTTCTCTTGGCTGCACTATCGCCCACTAGTGCAACACTAGTGCAACATTAGTGCAACGCTATTGGGTAGTGCAGGGCAGTGCAGGGCGGTAGTGCAGCCAAGAAAAAACGCTAAAAATAAAAGTTAATGCTGCAGATCGATGTTGACTTTAACTGAATATTACGGATTAAGATAGAAGAGAAGATAAGCGGGGCAGCTGTGACACATCGCGCGATAAAACTGATCAATCTCTACTATACGCATGTTTGTTTCTCAATCTTCTGTTTATTAAGAAAAAGAATTAAAATAAACCTACCTGATGATGATCCTGATAACTGTCCATTTTCTAAACGGGGGCGCAGGTAACACTTAAAAGTCTGGTAACAATTGAAAAATGTCCACTTTGGTGACAATACAAAAATGTCCACTCAAGTGTGCAATTAAAATGCGTCCATCCAAATGCAAAACTCGAAAATGATCATATTTTCGCTTATCGTTGCGCGCATATCATTATTAAGAATAACAAAACTGTCTCTAGCAACTTTATGACCGCTTCGTCGATCCCGCTATTCTTATCGTCGTGGCTCGATCGTCGTTGATGTTCCACCTCGACGAGGAGATGGCTTCTACGTGACAATCGGCGCAGTGCGCACAGGGACCAGCTTAAATAGCGAGCGCACCTTCCAGGACGAGACGCGACGGCCGACTGACAATGACGCAATCCGCGACGCTCGTCGACATGAAACAGTTCTTTCGCGTGACTCTGAGTATAAAGTCTGACGGGTACAAAGATCCGCGATATTTGTACCTGATGAACTTGTAAACGCAGCGAAAACCAAAATCCACGGGGTCGCCCGCGAAACTCCGCGTTGCATGTCGCAATCGCGGCTTCCCGTTACATAGATTTCCATTACAAGGAATAATGAGTCATCGCGAGAAAACGATTCGATCGCCAGGTCCAGCCTCGACGTTTCCAAGATCGGATGATCACCCTCGGTTGAATCTTAGCCGATGATCTTCGAAACGTCAAGTTTTCTGGATTGGAACAAAGACGAGCGATATCAGAGACATTTCCGTAATAAAGCTAAGTTTCGCTTTTAATGGGAAATCCGCTCTAAAGATTGCCGTGAAGATGGCTCTAAGCTCAATAAAAGCATTCTTATAAAATATCTAATATATCGGACCCCGAGAAGAATATATGTCATAACTAAAAATTTTACAATTTTCAGGAGACAAAAAAAATTTAATTCAATTTTCTTGAATTGTAAAATAGCTAACAAAATTTTAATTATCTTATTTTGTTATAATGAAACTTATATTCTGTCTCTTGAAGAGGTCTGGTGTGATTCACCTGTCAATCCATTTATGACACTATTCATCCAGGAAACCGCAACATAATTGGTTTAAAAGAACTTAACAATACTTCTGCCTCGTACAGCGGATTTCGCATATAGACTTGTGAGACTATTACTGCAGCATTTTATACATAGTTCTTATATAGGTTTAACTCAAAATCGAAATTTTTTGAGTCGTGACAGTATATTCTTCTCAGGAAGGGGAATATATTCCTAGAAAAACACGACCAACATTAACATCGAATATCGGTCGAAACACTTGTTACGCTTTTACGTTCGATTAATTTCGTGGCTTTTGCACTGCGCAAGAGTAAGCGAAGATTTCGTTGCAATACCCGAATCCGCGTTCCCGACGCAGCGATTGATGTGGGTGAAATGACTGCACCGTTTCGTCGCTTTGACAGCTTTTATTTACAAACACCACCCCGCCAAGTATCAGCGTCGTCTTGTTTCTTTGTTAATCCATTTAACGTGTATTATATTTCGATTGAAACGGCATTGATCTATATCGAATGGGGGTGGGAGGGGGCGGGGGAGCGGGTGAAGGGGCGAGGGTTTTTCGGGAGCGACAGCTAAAAACAGGCTTACATTCGTAGAAGAGCAAAACCGAGGAAAACCTTCGTTCTAGCGAGGTTCGCGCGGCGACAAAATCGAAGGCCGCGTAATACAAGTTGACGTCGCGGAGAAAAGAAAAAAAGACTATTTCGTCGACAGATTATTTAAACTTAAACGAGTCGAAAGACTCAATTTGGATCACTGTTGCATGCCGAGAGGGATTTCCCTCTCGGTGCGTTTGGTCGACGAAAACCAAAGGCGAGTTGACGCAATATTGCATCAAACGCCTGACGCAATGCCCCAAAGCGCCATGGCAATGCGATACGAAAAAATAAAATGAAATTGATATATATCCGTGAATAAACTTGTACAACTGTGAATATGTATATTAAAAGATATCGAATAAAAGTTATTAAAGAAACAGTAAGTGTCTATAATATGCGAATAAAAATTGATTTTTTTCCTCCTCGTCTAAATCACGAATGTTTCTGTAATAGAAAAAGTCATCAATTCAGACTTGGTTGATGCGAGGATGAAATCGTATGTTCGGAGACTGAAGTAGCAACCCCTTCGGCTTTTGCCGCCTCGGTGTTCCTGGGAATGTCTACTGCGGGAGCTCGTCTACCGCACGAAAATGGTATTCTACACCTAACGCGGAGACTCTCAACCCCGTCCTGGACGAGAGAGGTCTCTGTTTCTCTCTCTTTCTCTCCCCCTCTCTCTCGGAGAGACGATCCGAGATCTCTCCTTCGGATTACAAATCCTCAGTCGTCCGTATCGATCTCCAAATTGTCCGAGGGTGTCGCGCGACCCCCACGGGTTGAGATTCACCTGGATCTACATGTCTCTATCTAGTCTCGCGACAAGTGGCTGCATCGACATCGAGCGGCCGCGAATTCCACAAAGAACAAGTCGAGTAGGGAACGACGACGCTCGATTTCGGAATTTTTCTTCTCGTTTTCCCTTTGTCTCCTTTATTATTTATCTTCCCCCCCGCGAGTTTATTCCTCCTCACCACTTCGCGTCCTGTCACTCGCGCATTAAGTGGTAATTCGCTACTCTCATTAGCAAAAACCGTAAATCTCGTATCGGCTACACGTATAAATTGTGCAAAAAATTTAGCATGATTAATCGTAGGCCTTTCTTGTCGGAAAAGGCACGCGTACATATACATATATGTATCTCGCGTCGTATCTTTTTTTTCTTATCGTGTCTCCTCTCTGGTGTATGCATATGTATATATATATGTATACATATTACATAATGCGTAAGTCGTGTATACAAGTACATGTGTAGATATACCATCGACAAGAAAAATGGGGGAGCAGGCAGGGGGAAGGGCAGGGTAGGGTAAGGCGAAGGGGGTGTAAAGGGACGGGGAATATACATCGAGCACAATGATACCCACAACAGCAATCATAATAAATATCCCGTTTTAAGTACATGAAAAAGTCTCTCCTGCATGCTCTCGATATTGCTAAACTTCAATCATGCCAATCATCACCCTTACGCGAATATTCTCGCCTGACTCTATTTTCTTCTTCTCATTTTCTCTCTCTATATCTCCCTCTTTGATATTTTTTGTGGCAGAATTGCAGCAACTGCAATTTCTGCCATCGCCCGAGCTGCCGCAAAAGCAATGAACCATTTGTCGGTCGTTGAGTCATGATTGATAAATAAATATAAAAAGAGCAGCAAGATAAAAATTATATAAGACGTAACATCGTCTTGTGGAATCGAAATGAACTTGCAAGTAGGACTTCGTGATAAAAGATTAAAATGAAACCGCTTCTAGGAAATGTATGTAATAAGCATTAACTTATTAGTTATTACATACAACTATAACGCGCTTGTGACGTTCAGCGTTTGTATATTCGATGAGTAATCATCTCATATATTTATCAAAAAATGTTACGTGTTTCAAGCGTTTACTCAGATTATTTGGCGTTTCGCAGATTTCAATACTCTTTCAAAAAGCACGGAACAAATCGCTTCGAAGTGTCGAACAAATCGATGGATCCCGAAGAATGAAAGAAGACAGTCATTCCGATCCAATGAGACAGCTTATTGATAAGCGATATTGCTGGAATCCTTTAGCCTTTAGAACGATTCACGATGAAGTCCACATGTTATGTAATCTCGACTTTTGTCCCGGGATCGTGAAACATCGTCGAGCATGTACAAACGCCTCCTTCAGTACGATGGCAATCGTCGTCGCAAAGCAAGACACACAAAACTGTGGATTATGGTTTTTTTTCTCAGACATTTTATCAGAATTTATTATTTCGTGTAAACGTTTATAATAATTATAATTTACAATTACGATGGGTTGATGATAAATACAAATAGAACAACGTAATTTGGGTCGGGGAGGAAAAGGGTGGAATAGAAGGAAGAAAAGGGGGAAGAGAAGGCGAAGAGAATAAATGGTTGGAGGAAAATAGGTAGCTGGATGGATGGCAATGGCTTTCCGTATGTGAAGAAAAGAGCGGGAGCAGGATAACGAAGGACAAATCGTGTGAATTCATGTGACTGAATTTGTAGTGGAATGAAAAGACGTGTCGTCGTCACTCTTCTCGCGATCGCTAACGTACGCACAAATTGCCCTCAAAAAGTATAGCTCGTGTTTTTTATTCGAGATAATCGATTTGAAAAAGGAGGAGACTTGGATGGTAAAGAGGGTCGAAGAAATTCTTTACGTGCTAAGAAGCCGCTGATAATGATGATGAAGATAAAGATGACGATGAAGATGAAGATCAAGATGAAGATAAAGATGATGATGATTATGACGATAATGATAATGATGATGATGCTGGATGATGATGATGATGATGAATGATGATGATGATGAATGATGATGATGATATTGATGATAATGAGGATAGCTCTCCCGATCGAGTAAAGTCACTGCCAGGATTATTAAAAAAACATATAACGTTTATTTTAGAAAATTCATAATATCCAGAAAATGAAAAGAACACAAGATGTTAACGTTCGATTTGTTGAATTGGGTGGTGAGCGGCTGGGATAAGGATAAGTTAGATTGAAGAAAACATCCCTGAAGAGTAGATTCAAGAGAAAGAGGCGAAAGGAGGAACTATTGTACTCGGAGGAGAAAGAGGACTCGCGAGAGGTGGGGATGAAAAGAGAAGGATGTTATATCTGAGGACCCGCTGGCCGATGGCATCGTGATGGCCTGCGTATCTTACCACTTCTGATTACACACGCATGCACATACATACACCCAGTCTCGCCCAGCCAGCCCTCGTTGAACGAGGACTTTCCGGAAGAGATAGGCTCAGAGAGATGAAATTTGTAGGCTGTAGCCTTCATCGTTCGACTCCTCGATCTTAAGTCTCTTAAATAGCAAAACTTCGAGGCAGAACGAAACGAAAGAACAAGATTTAAACGACAAGAAGCAAGCATAAGAATTTCCACGATCGTATTTGATCTCCAAGTCGCGTAAATATACTCTTATTTCACGTTACATCTCATTTCTTGTCATCTGTATCTTATCTTCATTTTATCCTGCCTCGACATTAAAAGACCTCGTCTGTAATGGACGCAAATCGCGAATTATTTCTGCCAGAGTACCGGCTTGATTTCCACGTCCCGCATCTACTACTGCGATAGAAACGAAACTGATATCGGCGATGAATTATAAACACGAGACTTCAATCGTACACGTATTCATTCTCGCTCCCATTTGACGGAAGGAGGAGGAAGGTGGATAGGAAGAGTCGCCATTCGAATGCTGTCACTGCTCATCGTCTCTTCGACACCGCGTCCGTCTCACTCTCGTTTTTCTCTTTCTCCCCTTCCTTCCTAGCAACCGAACGTTATTCCCGCGTGTTTCTTCCCTTCCCGGCGATTACGGACAATGTTGTTGCGACAAAGACACACCGATTATACATCGAGAAATATCAACGCGATAACAGGAAAACGTTTACCCATTCACGTGTAATTAGCGACTAACTTGCTGAGAACTGGCTGGCACCCATAGGCGGCGATATTACATATGCGTGATACAATGTGTGTATGTGTGTATGTATGAATATATTTATATATGTGCTGTCAGTACGCGCGTATATACATATACTTAATTATACATATATATACGAGAAGAGCATACGAGGATGCATTTCAGCTCCTCGTTTCATATCTCTTTTTCTTCTCTTCGCGTCGGGATGTCGAACGCGAGCGGAGAGCGTGATTTTGGATAGTCTTAGACCTCCCGTTGGAATCTTGCGGTTTCCCCTCTAACGTAGAATCTTTTCTGTTAACAATGATCGAAATACTTACATCGCGTTACAAACACGTGGTACACGTCGAAGTCCTAAATCGTCCGATATAAATTGTTAACACTCAATTCAAATACGTTGCGTAATTTATTATTCGACACATCGTCTCGGTCTTATATTCTAATCAATCAATCGTAATTGTATATGCAAATTCTTCTCCGTGACTTTCTTCGATGTGTACACCTCGATCGAGGGACCAAGCGTTGCGAGCTTCCTCTCCCTCGAGGAAGCCTTGATACTCTACCTTACACGACGCTATCTTCGAGAAGCAATTGTAAATCGTGATTCGCAACACGTATATAATTTTCTCGCAAACTCTCGGAAATGAATATCGCAGGACGAAAGTAAATACGTGGCTATATATCTATTCGTGTGTATGTTGTGTGCGTATAACTCGTTCTCTCTCCATTCTTCTCGACCGCGCTACGAACTTGCTAAGAGTTACGTGATATAAATATATTTATATATCTTTGTGTATATATTATATAATTGCGTATAGTATAATAGAGAAAGAGAGAGAGACGAGCGGTCGAATAGAAGAGCGAGAGGAAGTTGAAGGTCCAGAATATGCAATCTCTTAATAACGTGTCGCACGTGTGTAATCTCTGCGCTCGACGACGACAATGGGGAAACGAGCGGCTCTTCAGATCCTCGTCCTCCTTCTTCCGCATTCCGTTTCACGATCGCACGAAACTTAGGGGAAAATATGTGCGAACGACCGCGACGACGACCAGAACGACGACGAGAAACGTCTTCTCTTTCTCTTCGCGTTACAACACAATTGTGATAATACTTATATGCTACCAACGACCCTGATCGATTCAATCTTTTCTCTCCGTGGATAAATTACAGACAGATTGAAAAGTAGTAAGAGAAATCCAAGGAACTTAATCCCAAACTGTCGGACTGTCGCGACTTCGGACTTTCAGTAAAATCGCGAGGTTTCGGTCGTGGCGAAAGGAAAAGGGAGGAAAGTCCGCGTAGGAAGAGATATTGAATTGCATGCAAATCATATCATGTGCGCAATCATGGTGGTAATGTTGGAGAGAGAGGAGAAAAAAATAAAAAAAAAAAAAGATACAGTGTTTGAAAAATCAAGTCACCACTGTTGTTTGTTTTGGAACTTAATAACTTAATGTATTTGTTTTTACTCTCCTTTCTCCTCCTGCATTCTTCCCTTCGTATAATAATATTCGTTACTTGCTAGACAATGTGAAATTTAATTTAAATGACAACTGGATATAATGCAGTAGATTCATGCGTGCTTTTTTTTCATTTCCTCGTTCTCTTCGCTTCTTCTCGTACCTCCGCGCTGTTTCTTTTCTCGTTTTAACTTTAATGTTTTTCTTTTTTGAGATGGTAAGCAGCGAACAGATTTTGGGAGTAATGACAGTGGGTCGGTCGGTCCTCTGCATTCCATGTCTCGTCCCGATGTGATTTACCCTTTAATAGTACATCACTTTCTCGTTTTCTATTCGCAAAACTCAAATAATCTAGCGTTTGCTTTCTTTTTTCTGCTATGTGCGTTATCGACAATGAGGTGCATGCATGCACGCGCGCGTTCGCGCAATGATTTTCGCGTCAACGAGACAAGGTATGCAGGGGAGATGTGAGTGTGTGTGTCTCCTCCTGTCCTTTCCTCTATTCATCCACAATTCGCTCCTTCCTGTTCCTCCATACAAATGGGTCAATAATAAATGGATTCCTTTTTTATTTAAGAAATTTCGTGCGCGAGAGACCGAATGATCCACGCCCTACTCGATTGTTCTTCTCTCCTCGCCAATGATAGTCTTCTTGACTCGATGCTTCACGATCAACGTTCTTGCCTTTCCGTCTATCCCGAGTATCGACCGAGATTCCAATTTCGAGTCTAAGTTCGATCTTTAAGATCCTTCTTGCCATCATTCGCGAACAGACACGATCGAGCATTAGTGAATAATTCGAAAGCTCTCGACGTTCGAATTTTTCAAACCGGATGTAGCAGCTGTGGCGGTGGCATTGGCAGCAGTGTGCGGTCATGTCAGGAAAAAGAGAAAGAGAAAGAGATAGAGAGAGAAAAAGAGAGAAGGATCAGTTTTTTGAAAAGGAGAGTGATTTAAGGAAAAGGGAGGTCTTCGATTGGAAGGAAGGAAGGAAAGAAGGAAACGAGGTACGCGAGGGACAAGAGGTCAGGTGGACATGGATGGATGGATCTGGGTGGATGGACATATGGGTGAGCACTTCAGGGGGACGGGGGGACGATAGAGAATAGGATGTTCTTATTAGGTTTAGAAAGGACTTAAGCTTAGGAAGGTTAGTTGTCGCCGCCCTCCTGTGGCTCGTCCCCGTCGCCCTGCGTGTCACTGGTCCACAGAGTGAGGTTGTCGCGCAGAAGCTGCATGATCAATGTGGAATCTTTGTAGCTGTCTTCATTAAGTGTGTCCAGCTCCGCGATCGCATCGTCGAACGCCTGCAAAAGATTTAATTCTTTAAGTCTCTTGAGCTTTGCGATCCCATCGTCAAACGCCTGCAAAGTTATAAATGCGTCACAGATACGTTTTTATTCTATATACTATAATCTCAATGTTATCTTTTAACAAAAGAATAATTTAATTTCCAAATAAAATAGGAAAATAGCATTCTAAAATGTACATGTATTTTCAAATAAAGAAATAAGACTCATTCTATGAGTACAATTATATAAATTTTGTCAAATATCCATAAAGTGTCATATCTATAATTACACAAGTCAAACTATTACTTAATTAATATAAATAGAGAATACGATGCGGGATGGTTAGTGCGGTATCAGTGGAGAAGTATCTCAGTTTACTAATTACGTATTAGCAATTTGAAAGAGGATTAAATGGCACAACATTCACACAAAAATATTAATGTTAGAATTAAATCAAATTAGGGAATTTGGTCGTTAGAGAATAGATAGGATAAATTAAATTCACACGGCAAAAACTGTCGATTTCATAGTAAGACTGTTGAAGTGCTGATTCCCTATGATTTAAATATAGAATATAAAAAAATAGAATATAAAAAAGATAAATATAAACATTTTAATGTTTCTAATTATCTAATTCAACGAAGAAATAAGACTCGCGGTTCTTACTCTTTCTTTATTGCTCAAATCACGAAGAAAGACCGAAATTTTAGCAGGAGTGCTTTAATCAAAGTATATAGCTCTAATTCTCGCCCGTGTTTCTTATCAGCAGTCTTATCACGTACCCAGTTCGACGGCGAACGCGTTAATGCATACAGAGGGTTTATATTAGAGAAAACTATCACGCAGTAGCTAAAGCACAAGCCCTCCACAAATCCTCCCTCTAACCTGCTTGGCTAAGTGACAGGCTCTAGCCGGGGAATTGATAATTTCGTAATAAAAAACGGAGAAGTTGAGGGCAAGGCCGAGCCTAATCGGGTGCGTAGGCTGCATTTTCGCCTTCGCAATGTCAAACGCCTCCTGGTACGCCTTCTGCGAATCCTCGACTACCGCTGCAAATGCAAATCAGCCTCTATTCAGATTACACCTTCCACGACCTCATTTTTGCGCCGTGATCATTGAAGTAATAATAAATTGTCGTTGTCGTCGGGAGAGGAGCGCGAGGAGAGGAAAGGCGAACGAAAGCTGAATAAAAGGAGGGAAAATGCAAGAGAATTTCAACGATTCGCCTCGCGTCTTGTCCTACAAAGACCGCACGCGCGTGGCCGTTTCACTCGGAACTGCGTCGGCCTTGAACGAGCCGTGTCCATAAATCGTCACCGATCTTCCACGATATGACCCCGCTGGGACGTGCATCTCCGTCATCTGAGTCATCGCGTATGAGTCAAATGAACAGTACGCCCGACGGTATTATTAAAAATTTAAATACAGGCGCTTTTTTCTGCATATCAGACAAGTTTACACGCGCTATTTGTAGGAATGTGTTTAAGCAAATTGGTCAACAGCTGTGCAATTATAGTTATCGAAAGAGCACTTAGTTATTAAAACTGCATCTCGATATTACATTTGACAATATTACACTATTATCGGTTGATATTTTTTACAATATGTTTGTGTATGTAATATTACTTTTTATCTTTTTATCTCTGGCCAAATATTTTACTTTGCAAGTAAGTTATCACAGATTTTAACATCGCTGTTCGTTTAGAGATATAGTTGTGCCGTATCTCGGGACAATCGTTACCGAGACCGATAACGCGTTTCGAAGTAGCAAACTAGAAGATGACGTCGACGATCTTTGTAGGACAGAAGTAGACAAGTTGATAGAACGAGTCGTTCGTGTAAGATAAACTTTTTTGTCACCACTGTGCACCGTCACCACCATCACCGTCATCGAGCTCTCTATCCCACGGAATCGCTAGAAAGATAAGGATTAGTTCCTCTGATCGTGTACCTGTTTGGCCAGTTGACAGGCCTTGTCTGGTGAATTGAGAATCTCGTAATAGAAGACAGAAAAGTTGAGGGCGAGACCTAGCCTGATCGGGTGGGTAGGCTGCATCTTTGACTTGCTGATTTCGAAGGCATCCTGGTATGCCTTCTGGCTGTCGTCTACCACGGCTGGATATTACGTGGATCATCAACATGTCTGTTTGTCTTGTTTTGCGTGAACTAACACGCTTCGTATCAAGTTGATTTGAGAGCTACTTAGAACTCAGAGGTACGTAACATGGATTTATCGCGTTTCGAAATGCCGTGAAAGAATTAACTTGGAATTAAACTTTTTCATTAACTTAAAAAGCTCTTAATTTCTATATTTTTTATTAAAATTTATAGACTAACCATTTGTATTATTTATATTATAAATTAACTATTTATATTAGTTATCGATTTGCTCTATTTACGTTCTAAGCAGCTCGATTGCTTTTTAGGCAATTTATATAAAGAAAACAGATGAACAATCTATTTTCATCTAAATCTAATTCATTTTAACATAAATATTTGCAATTCCCTGAACTTTATATAAACTTCGTTTTGTATAAATCTCATAAAAATGAAATTTCTTTATAATTCTAAAAAATATAAATTCCGATAAACGTATTCAATTAATTTAAGAAACAGAGTCTCTAAGTTCATCTTCAACGTCTAAGGCCCAGTTTCACAAGTATCGGTTAACTTTTAACATTAGATTAACTCACTCTTCGTCTCTTTCTAAGAGGGACGTTAGAAGGAGAAAAAGAATGAATTAATCTAAGGTTAAAAATTAACCGACACTTGCGAAACTGAGCCTAATATTGTCAATACATGGCATCAAATAATTATACACAAAAACAAAAGATATAAAAAAATACTTAAATTAATAGTTAATAATTATCTTTGTAGTTGATATTCTTCGTAGAGCCTCGTGACTCAAGTTTCACTCGCGAACGTCACAACCGACTTTCACTGTGACCGACTGAGACTACAACTGACTCTGTTTCCGATGTAAAAGTCCAAGGATCCGCCCATACATCAAAAAGAAGCATCTGTCGATGCAGCTGCGTCGCAACACGAGTGCCACAAGTGTTCGATTTTGAGAGAAGTGTATCCCATCCATCTCGGGCACTTGCATAACTTAGACGCAGTTGCATCGATCACATCGAGGAGGCGATCGAAGCGAGAGGTAACGATTTTCGGAGCATTGATGTGGCAACGATAGATTTTGGACGGCACCTTTTACGTTACTATCGGATAAGAAGTCACGATTGTATCACTACAAAAGATGGTAATCGCGCGCTTTCGCGTCTCTCTCTCTCGCTTCGAGGTCTCCCCGGGGGATCGCAAAGTAACGCGAGGAAGATCGATACGTACTATTTCTGGTTTCACCAGTGGCGACTTCTGCGAGATACCTGTAGTAGTCACCCTTCATCTTGAGGTAGAATACTTTGCTCTCGGCATTGCTAGCCTTGGGGATCAGGTACTTATCCAGGAGTCCCTGTAAAGACGCAAATACAAAACAAATGAACAAACGCAGTTGCTGAGAAAAAGAAAATGAAATTGATGTAAAATACAAATCAAGTTGACTTTTATTTAATTTCTTGCGCTCCGAGTATCTTGATAATTAATAAAATAAAAATTAGGAACGTAGGGTAACGAAAAAAATAAAACAATTTTCGAAAAAGACTAAATTGTGTTATCTCTCGCGTGTCTTGCTTGCTCCTTTAATCAAGCAACTCTCTTATCCGAATCACGCTGTTGTGATTAAATCGTGTTTCATAACTGAATTAATTTAATGTGTGATTCACAACTCCATATAGAGAACTATTTCAAATAAAAATCTCAAACTTTACGCAATTAATTAAAATACAAGGATATATATAATATTATTATACAGTTACATTATTATTTAATTATATATATAAATTGTCAATAATATAATATATAATAACACACATTTGTATATAATGCTGAAATTATTTTCAAAAATGAATTACACAATAAAACATCACAATTTAGACTAATCGATTATTAATTGCCATCGGGCAATAAAGCATCAAACGTGGTCAAATTAATGTGGACAACAATGTGGGAATTGATGCGCAATGCACCGGTCAATGACGAGTTCGTTTCACGCTACGCACATTCAGCCGTGTCTATGCTAATGACGTAACAGCAGTGTTGGCCGACCGACTTTACATATGCGAAACTCACGTGCAAACAGCGCGACGATATTTATTGCGTCTTAACGCAAACATAATGCACCGACCGTCGCGGTCGGTGCGGCGAGGGGAGGCAAAATTCGCCCCGATTGCTGTTACGTCACGTTAACTTGGCAACTTTCGACCCAACAGCAGCGAACGATACAACACCATGTATATTAAAATTGCGCATTATCTAAAGATCGCACAGATTTAATTTCCGAAATAGATTCCATTCTTGCTGTTGCGTTACCTCGTAAATGAGAGGTAAATGAACGCGCTGGGAGCCCAAGTTTCTAATTTAACTGCTCCCCGGTTATCTTATCGTCGTGCGAGACGAGTATCAAAAAGCAGCGTCGCCGCACAAATCGTCGCATTTCGATGCGCGAACCGTGCCGTCATAAATTATGCCGCATAATCACGTGAGCGCGCGACTCGCGTCGCAATGAAGGTAGAGGAAAAAAAAAGAAGACAGAAGACGTGTCCGTACGTCATTGCCGTCTCAACATTTTTCTCTCTCTCTCTCTCTGACATATCAAAATTCAACAAGAGACCGGTTAGAATTACTCCCGAAGTCTTCTCTTTTTTATTCCTCCGCGGTTATTAATCAAGCGCGGATTTTACGAGTGACAAAATCGGAATTGTAAATTATCGAAATATATGCGTTTCTTCGGAAGCTCAATAGAGAACCACGTTGTTGGTAAAATCGATTAAATTCTTATTCTTAGGTCGATCGTTTCACTCTCTGTATATCATTTCAAATCTTCTTATATTAAATCGCATTTTTTGCACGTCTCTTATTATCCTGTTTCTTGCAGCGGCTTTCCGATTTATTTTCTAAAGCCGTTTTGTCTCGCGACAACTTATTTGAGATGAACGACTGGCTTTCACGCGTTCTCTCCTCCGCATCGAGTTAGAAATAACTCGGTTTTATTAAACCGCAGCGCGTGAAACCGACGGTGGCCACGTCAAGGTGCAATACAATAGTGCCACGCTTACGGTGACGTGTATAGGAGAGCGCGAGAAACAGGAACGACTCCGATCGCCCGGCGATTGCGTTTCAGCTGGAGCCTTGCTCCAGTTTCGTCGTTTGACGCGCGCGCGTCTCCCGACCGCGCGTCTCCTCGAATCTGACCCCTTTCCCTCGTCATTCTGCGCACGTTGCAATTAGCAAGCGCTTGTCTTGGAGCAATCACCCTCTGCGCGTCCTCAAAATTAATAACTAAAATGCTATTTAATTAAAAGAAATAATTACAAGATATCTGTTGATCCATCGTTCGAAGGAACGGTAGCAATAACGTCGTAAACATATTTGCTTTTAAACATCCGATTATTCATATCGTTCAATTAACAAACACATGTGAATGTTTTTTTTTTCTAATTTATGATATTTGAATCACAAATTATTTCTGGCAAAAAATACATTTAAGATCTAAATCGGTGCAAATTACATAATGAGAGACAAATGCGGTATTTATTATAAACACCGAAATAAGACTTAATTTGGTACTTTTTTTCTCTGCATAAAGAAAACAGCCTCGAGCGAATTTAATTCCTCTGAAGAAAGGGCCTCTATTACGAGGCGGAACGTGCCGTTTCCGGTAGCCCGAGGTACGTTCGTCTGAACAGGCGTGCCCGCTTCCTCTTCCGTTTCCGCTTATTTCCGGATACTGGAAAAATATCACCCACGTAACGAGAACGGAGATCGAATGGAATCCCGAGGCGCACGTCGCAAAAAACATCGAGTAAATTATAAATTCGCCGAGTTTGATGAGTTTCGCGAGACTTTCGAGCGACGAGAAGTTCGAAAGGTCACGCTTTAATATCTCGCCGTTGACTCTCTATACGAATAAAAAGCGTCACAAGTAACAGATCTTGGGAGAAAGATATTAGAGAAATTGAACAGTTCCTGAATTATTATCCAGATAAAAAATATAAATAAGTTTTTTATGACTAAAGATTAAAATATTAATCAAAAAAACTAATTAAAGCTATTTTCTAACATCCAAGATACTTCATATCGTTCGTAAATAACTTGCGAATAGCTAATTGAATAAGGAACAATTATCTCAGTGTTGAAAATTACGTGACGATACGCGGATTATTTTACGCGGAAAAAAAACAAGAGATTTCGTCGTTTTTACGGGAGGAATACAGGCGTAAAAATCGCGGAGGCGAGTAGAAACTCGTAATTGACCCGTGTGAAATCCAATCCGGAAGATGGTCTTCATCCTTCAGAGATCCCGAGCAAGAAAATATATGTGTGTGTGTGTGTGTGTGTGTGTGGAAGGTTGTCAACCAAGAATCGTAAGACGATCCGGGCGCGGAAGAGAAACGGCGGGTATTGCTCGCAAACGAGTTTCGACGCTCGAGGGCGAAAGCACCCCGGGTAAAACAATCCATCTCGTGTCTCGGCGTTGACACTTTATTATACGGGACGCCACCGAATTAATCCCTTTATCATCTTAGCGGAAATCATCTTAGCCGCGTCATCGTTTAATGCGACGAGTGAAAATAAGCAACGAAAGACCTCTTTCCAATTAACTTTAACAGAATTCATTCAAAGGGAAATTTAATTTCAGGTTTAATTACTAAAAATGATGAAAAATAAAGTCCCCTTCATTATTTTAGCGACATTTTCTACGAACAAAACAGAAAAGTGTGACATTCTATATATAATCTCGTGTTAATCCAACGCTGGGAAATTTCAACGTACAAATTACAACGCGAATTTCAGCGAATAGAAAATATTGTGACGGTTACCCGTTTGCAAAATAGATTAACCGAAGAGAGTTGCAAACGCTTTACAATTGCTTTCTACAAGTAAAATTAATTTTGTTGTTACTTGGAATTAATTAACACTCCTCCAAGAGAAAAGTCTAACAGGGCTGGAAATTCGCGTCAATGCTTTCGACGAAAACGTGCTATGCTAATGACTTCCCGGTGCATAAAGCGAGTATATTTCCTCGTTTCGTTATCGCGTCGCTAGACGACGACGCAGCATAACGAATTACTAACGAATACAAGGCACTGCAGTCAAATGCTTTTCGGACGAAGTTAACGCTTCCGATTCCTTTTCTACGAAGAAGCTACTTTGTTAGAAAGTAGAGACCTTCTGGCAATTAGACGATTAGACGTCGGATCGATTCATCCCGATGCGATGTAAGAAAGCGGCTGCTCCTTGTAATGTTCTTTTATACTTTCTTGCTTTCTGTTTGCGTGTGCTCTTGTTTCTTTACTATAAACAATTCAATGCTGTAACTTGACACATCAGCATCTAAACCTTGTACATATTTGTACATTTTTTTTAATTCCTGCTTGTAAAATAAAACTAAAATAACAGAAATATTACGAAAAAAAGTGAGTAGTGGTCAGCACGTTAATACAAGTAGACAATAAATATCCAAGCGGGCGTATTCTGGTATCCTACACTGAGAAAAAATGTTGTTAACTTGACTAAAATTTTCAACCAATTATTATTTTTTTAATTGAAATATTTATGTATTTAAATTAAATACGACATGTTAAATCTAACATGACGCAATTTGACTCAAATACTTAAATATTTCAATTAAAAACATAATTAGTTGAAAATTTTACTCAAGCTAACATTTTTTTCTCAGTGCGATATGTAAGTAGAAGAACGTTCGTAGGAGAACGTTCCAGGATAAAGAATAACTCACGTGAGGATGAAATCATCGTTACATGTAATTATGCAAAATTACTTGTTTATCGATTCCCGCCCATCGCAATTCTCGGAGCGCGACCCCCTTTGGACGCGCGCGAGCGCCGGTTACTCAACGGCGTATAATTTTCTCCGACACCTTTCCGAACTCCTCGGCTATGTATGGAGAACAGGAAACATCGCGACGGTTTGCGGTTGCACCGACACGGAAAAAGGAGCGGAATGTACTCGGCTTGCTACGTTCGTACGGAGAGGAAGGAAGGCGACATCAGATTCGCCAGTCCTCAACGCGTCTCCGTCTTTCAGTTTTATTGAATTGGTTGATCGAAATGGAAAGCCCCGAGCAATTGCAAAATTCGAGATTAACAGCGTGATGACTGTAAAAAGCAGAATCAACTAAATAATTAATGTGTCGTACAAGTGAATTTTAATTTAACACGCATATGATGCAATTAAATATCTAAATACTATATTTTTAATGTAATAAAAATATTTATATATCGTGTTACCATAAATAATAAAAAAAAATAAAACAATGCTGGCATATTATATTCGTTTAAAATAAACATGTTTATCTAAACGGATGTCCATTAGCTGCAGCAGTGCGGTGAAAGATAGATATCTGACAAAATAGCATGACAAAACTATTAGAGATTCAATACA